CCAACTTCTTTAAGGGCCTACGGCAACGGGTGCTAGCAACAACCGAGGCAGTGACTATACGGCTAGCGAATCCCGTGCTGTGCTATCGGAAGACGCTAACACAAGCCCTTTCACTTCCATGCCCGACGCTGAAACCACGTGACGATAGCACATCGCTCCCACCCACTCGTGACAGTCGCTCGCTACATACAAATGACGGTGATCACTCTATGCACATGACCCTTAACCAATGCCCACAACCTAACCAAACACGCCGATCTCGCCTACTTGTGCAGACTGACATAGTTCGCAGTGACCAATCGGCGCTCAAGTTAGTCACTTATTGATTTTTATACACGTTTAAACTTTGTTTTGCAAAGTTACTGGCCTGATAAAGATTTGCAGAAAACATGTTTGGCAAAGTGATTTGTAAAATCGATTAAATGTTTGGAAGGCTGGCGTGGAGGCATCTGTTTCATTTTCGTTAGTTGCGAAGTTAGTATTTTAGTGTAAGTTTAACGAGGGAGAGCAAAAGTTGGGTGGATACTTGTGAGACGAAGGTTCAGTAGAATGTAATAATTAATAACTTCTCTACGATTTTGGCATGTTTAATAAAACAAGTGGGAGAGAACGATCTAACACGGAAAGGTAGTAGGTGTGAACTTGGATCAGAAGAACGTAAGGGAGAACCGTTACACGATATCGAGGACTCAGCAGCCATTACAGTCATTCTTATTTTTAAACCCAGGTGGTTGCGTTATAGACAGCAATGAACATTCGTCGAATTAACTTCGCTGGTCGAGGCTAAGACGTGCAGGCTATACGACGCACAGTTCTTAACTGTACGCTGATTGGTGGGATATGATTAGCCAGCGAAGGCAGGACGCGGAGACATTGTCGCGGGCTTTCATTTCTATGCCCAACTGGAAAGCTGAATATAAACAGATCACGTGAGCCCAAAATCAACGATGTCAACTGTGGGAAGTGAATGCAAGAAAGACCCATTTTTCTACGTTAAATGCATTTATCCCTATCCATCTGGATCAGAATAAGCGTAGTTCCATTTCTTTGGTAAGACTATTTGTAGTGTGAGGAATGCACAATGCACGGGAAACAAAGTTATGGACAGAGTTTTGTCTGCCTTCCCACTTACTACATCACGACACAGAGTACTGTGTCTCGCTAGACAGCTAGATGCTTGCCCTACCATCAGTTGCTGTAGTGGCTCCCATCGTTTTAGTTTGTGAGGACACTTAAATTACGCTTTCAACAAACGAATAGCGAAATTATTTGTCGTTTTTGAAGTAATTTGAACTTGATGGTTTGGCGCTCACCGATCGGGTACGGGAATAAATTGTCCCGTTTTGCCTTGAAGCTCATTCTAGACACCCGTCAGCAACCTCACAACAGCTAGTAGTGTAGGCAAAGTAACATTTATTGGCAGAACCAAGGCAGAGTAGAACGGCCAAATCTGACTGATTAACCGCCATTAGTCAGTCATTCCGAACCGAAACTCAAACGCGCTCTGTGTTGGTCTGCAGTCCAGTTCTCTACGTCAGTGCACAACAGGCCCATCATCTTGCCCATTGCGATCCAGCCTATTAACATTTGTGGATTGACACTCAACGATCAGTTACGGCACTTACATTTGGACATTACGAGGTGAGGATCGCCAATGTATCTAACACTTCGACTTATTGTACTGAACTGACCGGCTCCAAATTGGGTAGAGCAGTCGGAACAGGAAGTTTATCGCAGTCCTACAATGACTTGTCATTAGTCGGTGAAGTTAGGTGGTCATTGTAAGTCTAGGCACTATTGAAGGTACCCTGCTGCAGATAAACCGGTCGTAAAAGGTATTATAGATGACGTTATCCAGGTCGTTTGAAGCAAGTAGGACCAAGGTCATAAGAAGTCATAGTATGCAGCATGTTCTCTCACCTGCCACATCGATACACCTAGTAGGTCTTTCCGCTTTGAGTTACTCTGGTACTTGAATGAGATTGCCCATCTCACGGAATGTTAAGCAAAATAATAAACTGGAGTTTTTAATTCGAACAATTTGTTGTTGTTATAATATTCATTGGCGTGGAGCGTTATTCCAAAATATTTCAGTTAGACCGAGATACCTACTTTAAACGGCTTCTTTCTGACCACCTACAAAAAACATACCTTGTAAAAGATAGCTACTCGCGAAGTATGCATTTTCTCATGGACGTTCGACAATCCTATAAATTTAATATAGAATAACATGCACAGACATATTTCTTTTTGTACTCGTTTTGTAGAAAAGTTGACTTCTTCAATGATTGTATTTAAAGGATAGGTATCTTTCTAATTACAAAAAAGCTTTCTAATTTGCCGAATTATTTTTAAACCCTACCGGCTGTCGCAGCAACATTTAAGGTTTTCGAACTGCATGATGAATACATTCTGCCTAAGGAGTATGAAATATTTATCAACGCTACGATTATGATGTCAAATAATTTTCGTAAAAGTTTTAAATGGATAAGAATTAGGTTGTGTAGGTTAGGCAGATATCCTGTTCATTATCTACATCAGCGATTGCGTCAGCGAACTGGATTACGGTATCGCCATGTTCGTCGATGATATCAAACTTTGGAGCGCAATTCGAACTGCGGCTGACGAAGAGAACTTGCACCGGACTGGCTCTTGCCGTTCAATGAGAGCAAGTGCAACACCATTCGAGTCGACAAAACCAGTTCTTTAAACGGCACGGTTTACCGACTAAACGGCATATCACTGAAATAAGTGCACGCCCAGAAAGACTTGGGAGTCTGGATCTTACCCTCACTTAAACCCTCTCTGCATTGCGCAGAGGTAGCCAAGTCTGCGACGTCGGTCCTATACCTCTTCAAGCGAGCTTTTTCTGCCTTCAAGGAAAATTGCTTCACAAAAGTCTTTGGAGCCTTCGTACAACCGCAACTAGAATT